CTGCAACAGGCCGGCTAAGCGGCGTGAGCGTGGTGCTGTCTCTAAAGAAAGAGCGTGAAGCACCAGAGTCAAGTGTGAAAGTGTGCAAGGCCTCAGTAGGTGCAGTACCAGAGAGAGGAGACGTATTAGCACCTGGAGCAGCAGACGCACTAGCACCTAGGGCAGCAGACGCACTAGCACCTAGAGCAGCAGCCGCAGTGCCCGGGTCGGGCGGGACACTCAGGTAACAGTCACCCTCAGTAATATCAGCAAGAGCATACATGGCAGCAAGGATAGCATCAAAATCTAGATCAAAGATAGGCACATTCTGCAGAAGCAGATCATGCCAACGAGGGAGCTCAGCAGAGTCAGGAAACTGGGTACGCCAAGCGTCAGTCAAGCAACCGAAGCAGCGCTGCGTGGTGTGTGGGAGCCCACACACCTCCCCACTACAAGGGCCGGTGCGAAGAACGTAAGCGCAGGGACCTGCACCCCCAGACCTCCCACGCCCAGCGTACCACTCACGAAGCTGCTGAACCGACGGGGTCTCACTGGAGTGCGGCTGCTGCGGACGCTGGCTACCACCAGCGCCTCCACGCTGCGCGGCTGCACCTCGACCAGCACCACCGCCGCCGCCACCTCCACCACCGCTGCCGCTGCCTCCACCACCTCCGCCGCTGCCTCCACCACCTCCGCCGCTGCCTCCACCACCTCCACTGCTGCCACTGAAGCCCCCACTCCCGGTGCCACCCCCACCTCCACCGCCACCCCCTCCTCCTCCACCACCCCCCTGGCCGCCCCCTCCACCACCTCTGCTCCCCTTGCCCTTGCTGTTGCGGCGTCTCCCACTCAGAGCAGACGCAGCCCCGACCTCCTCAGTGCCAACAAGGTCGACAGCAGCAGCAGAAGCAACAGAGGGGAGAAGGGGGACAGGGGAACACCCCTCAAAGAAAGGGGTGCGACGGTCGCCGCGAGAAGCACCTACAGCTAAGATACTCTTCTCAGCTGCAGTAAGGCGCTCCTCTAACAGGTCGACAGTCAGCTCGGTGGGGCAAAGGGAGAGGAAGTGATCCCTGACTGAGGAAAGTGAGTCAGGGAGGCGGGGGACTAGGTAGTAAAGGGTGATGTACATGGGGGGAGGGTTCTTGGCACAGAACTCAGTGGGAAGGGCAGCACGGTAGCGGGCGTCACTAGTGCGAAGGTGAGCAACTAGGTCAGCGACTGTGGCAAAGGCGGCAAGGTCAGGGAAAAGGTACGGTAGCATGAGGCGGCTGAGTGCAGCAGTAGAAGGGGAGGAGTAGCGTGCAACTACAGCGTCGTACAAAGACTGAGCAGTCTTGTACTGGCCAAAGTGTGCGCGCTCAGCAGGCGGCAGGTGACTACGAACAGCAAGACGAGCAACAGCGTCACGAGTGGTCCACTGAGAGCGAACAGTATTGTCAGCAGTGGCAGCAGGAGCAGTGGAAACACCAGACGTGTGATCGAAAAGAGATACCCCATCCCTAGAATCACACTGAAGAAACAGCTGGAGGTCGTCAACCCACACGTCAAAGCCAACTGCACGTCCCTCAGCATCAAAGGTGAGAACGGTGGGACTAGCTATAGTAGCAGTAGAAGCAGCAGCAGTGCAAAGCAGTGATAGCAGCAGTAGCAGCAGTAGCAGCAGGAGCAGCAGTAGAAGCAGTAGCAGCAGTCGAAGCAGTAGCAGCAGTGCTGCTCGGCAGAGCAGTGCGGCTCGGTGGGGGCGGCGCAGCTCGGCTGAGCGGCGCGGCTCGGCTGGGCGGCGCGGCTCGGTTGGGCGATGCGGCTCGGCTACCGGCGGCGCGGCAGGAGGGAGGGGGAGGGGAGGGGAGCACGAGTGCTTACCAGGGGCCGCTGTTGGGGCGGCAGCAGGGCAGGGCCAGGCCGGTGACGGGCGGCTGGTCAGGGACGGGCGGCAGGTTGGCGACGGGCGGCTGGTCAGGGACGGGCGGCAGGTCGGCAACGGGCGGCTGGTCAAGGACGGGCGGCTGGTCAGGTGACTGGCGGCAGGTTGGCGACGGGCGGCTGGTCAGGGACGGGCGGCAGGTCGGCAACGGGCGGCTGGTCAGGGACGGGCGGCTGGTCAGGCGACGGGCGGCTGGTCAGGGACGGGCGGCACGGGTCGCGAAGAGGCCGCTACGGGCCGGAAAGGGGGCCGTTACGGGCCGGAAGGGGGGCCGCTACAGGCCGCGACGGGCAGTGAAGGGGCCGCGACGGGCCGTGAAGGGGCCGCGACGGCCGTGAAGGGGTCGCGACGGGCCGTGAAGGGGCCGCGACGGGCCGTGAAGGGGGCCGCGACGGGCCGATAAGAGGGGGCGCTACGGGCCGCAAAGGGGGCCGCTACGGGCCGCAAAGGGGGGGGCCGCTACGGGCCGCAAAGGGGGGCCGCTACGGGCCGCAAAGGGGCCGCGACAGGCCGCGAAGGGGCCGCGACGGGCCTAGAAGGGGCCGCGACGGGCCGTGAAAGGGTCGCCACGGGCCGCAAAGGGGGGCCGAGACGGGCCGCAAGGGGGGCCGCTACGGGCCATTAAGGGGCCGCGAAGGGCAGGCGCGACGCGCGCGTCGGGCAGGTAAGGAAAAAAAAAAATCGTTTTAGTGGTGGGCCTTTAGGAAAAAAAATGTCGAACTAGCTCTATACCATGTGAGATAATTGAAGAATGAATGATTGAACTAGAAACGAGGTGGGTACAAGTAGAGAACACAAAAGTGTTGTACCCTCTAAGAACTACCCCACTACAGCCTAAACAGACTATAGCAGATATAAGTTTGACATAACCCCATTGTTGTTGTCGTTGTTGTTTGATTGCGCAGGTGCTGCTTGCTGGTGCTGCTCGTAGAAGGACATAAAGGAGAAGAATTTCTCCATCATGTTTGGGTCGAAGCCTGTTGTTTGATTCCCGGGAGTTTCGGTAGACTCCGCAGCTGGTCTTGTTGCTGTGCCTTCCTCTGTCTGTAGGCCAGAGGCTGGAGGTGGAGTAGGAGTAGTGCCGGGAGATCCGTTGGAGGAACTCCTCTCCCTCTAAGTTGCCATGCCTTGTGCTGTTGTAGGAGTTTGAGTAGTCAATCTTGCCTTGGAGGCTCTCATACCATGTTGGGCTGAACAAAGCCCTTAGGATCTTTTCAAGGCTAAGACTTGGAGTAGTGATGTTGTGATTGCGGAAGCGTATAATAAACTTGTTGAACTGTTGAACCACCTTGCACTAGTGTGTGAGAGCAAGATGAATTGATTAAAGCAAAGAGATACAAGAATATATATATGATTACAAGGAATACGAAGAGGTGCGATTAACTGTTTTTGCTGTTGCGGTTCGATACAGTGACGACTTGGGCAATTACTCAATACCGAGTCAGTTGTTTGTCCTTGCTGTCGCGCTGTATTTCGTCGAGTCAAAGGTCGCTGACCTTTGACCTTCGCGTAACCTCCAGCTGTTACTTTGACGCGTCGTTGCTCCGCTGGGATTTGCCTCGTTTGTTGTCTTATTGTTTCGACACAGCAGGAGCGTTAAATTACTTGTTTCCAACATCTAGCATATCCACCCAGTACAGCTTCTCCCTCGCCGTGTACGCATGCCGCGCCTTCTTCGTCATACGGTGGCGAGGCGAGGCGGGGGGCGCTGCATCCTGGACCTTCTTCTTCTTGCCTTGCGGACGTGACGAATGCGGAAATACGGGGACACGGACTGTGGGAAGGGAGGCCCGTGGGGTACGGCTGCTCTGAGAAGTCTCACTCGAAGACGGTACTGGCGTGGGCAGCACATGACGCGGCGTAGTCCTAACACGAGCGGGTTGACGGACGGTTGTTGCACGAGGGCGACGGGATTCTGACGTGCCTGAATCGGGCGTTGACACCATGCTGACACCCTTTTTCTGCCTAATGCTATGCCTGTCATTCTTCGCGCTCTGAATTTAATATGCCGTGCTAGTCCCACTATGCTAGACTCTGCCGAGCTGCGCTCCCCATTGCACAGAGGTGGGTCCGTTCCCTGGCGGTGTCAAATTCGCTTGTGCACGAGACATGACAGAGATAGCGCGACTCTGTGCTGAGAGCCTCACGTACCGGTAGCATGCAAGGGATGAGACGTCCGAGGCGGTCTGACACAAAGCATTGGACGTGGTACACGTTGGTCGGCCCCCAATCTGTAATGTTGGTTACCATTGAATATGGGCCAATGGGCATGAAGCATTCAGATGCTTCCTGGATTGTGCCCGGTTTCTCGGCTCAGGACATTCGCGGGGTTTTTCCTCGTTTAAAAAACGCAAATCTGCATTACAACAGCCTTGCATTTCATTATATTTTAAAAAACATAGCACTTATAATAAGACCCGGGTCTTATAGGTTTTTTACAATTTAATAAGACCCCCCACATTTTTTTGTGAAATCAATAACAGACCCTAGGGTCTTTTATCCGGGGGAATACGGTAAGATCACAAGTGATCATTGAAGGCAGGAGATAAGACAACTATGTTCTGTTTGTTGCCACAAGAAACTCTTATGTGTTGTTGACAGGCCACCACACAGATAATTGGGACTCCGCGTTAGGGAAGGGGAGGGGATGTTCCTGATCATAACTGGTGTGCAACTGAATAGTGGAACTTATGGTACCAGTTGTAATGAGTGTAGATGTTCATCTACACTATCAACACGTATATTGGTGGTGTGCTTGCAGCGCTTCTGCACAGATGGCCACACACACATGCTTTCAGTGGTTGGGGTTGAAGGGGGAGAATCCCCTTCCCATGCATGGAAGCAAAGCAACACTGGACACCTTTGAACACTCTATTGTGAGTGATACTGTTTTCAGAAGAGCAAGAAGCTCTTTTAAAAGCACTGGAGCTATGGTTAGGTAGATTGGTGGTGGCCACTTGATTGCGCCCCACTATAACCACGCCACAAACCGTGTAATTTGTAAACTCAAGTTGTGCTTTTCAGAATGCACAGCACCGTGTATTGTATAGCCATGAATGGTTGGCACGCTGGGTGGTGTAGATGATGCAGCATGTCAAGGCGGTTTGGGCGAGTCAACAGCAGGAGGCGTAGCAACTGCTGCTGCTGCTGCTGGGGCTGCTGCTGCTGCTGCTGCTGGCGCTGCTGAAACAGGTGGTGTTGTTGCTGGCACTGCTGGCAGTGCTGCTGGTGTTGGCACAGGCGCAGAGGAGGAGGAGGCTGGAGCGGGTGTGGCAGCAGCGGTGGTAGCAAGAGAGGCAGCAGCGGTGGTAGCAAGAGAGGCAGCAGCGGTGGTAGCAAGAGAGGCAGCAGCGGTGGTAGCAAGAGAGGCAGTAGCAGTTGCAGCAGGCGCGTGCAACTTAGCTGGCGCCACTGGCAGTGGTGATACCGAACTGGCCGGCGTACCTTGTCTCACACCGGGAGCTGGTGCATTGGTTGCAGGAGCAGAAGCAACGCCACCAGTACCATCAGCAGCAGCAGCACCAGCAGTTCCAGCAGCAGCAGCAGTTGTCACTGCATCTGCTGGGCTTGACACCACTGCTGCATCTGGCACCTTTGAATGCGTCAACACTTCTGAGTTGGGTGGTGGTGCTGCTGCTGCTGGGGCTGCACAGCCTTGGGACACACCTTGCATGGTGTTGCTCTGTGCGCCCCCCTGAGCGCCTGCACCTCCCCCTGCGCCCCCGTGTGCGCCTGCACCTCCCCCTGCGCCCCCGTGTGCGCCTGCACCTCCCCCTGCGCCCCCGTGTGCGCCTGCACCTCCCCCTGCGCCCCCCTGTGCGCCTGCACCTCCCCCTGCGCCCCCCTGTGCGCCTACAACTCCCCCTGCACTCCCCTGTGCGCCTGCTGGGGGCATTCCCGAAGAGGCACTTTGCCCCACTGGTTTACTCCCAGCCAATGAGGTTTGGCCACCTGGCACAGACGCACCTGCCCCTCTCCCCACTCCCCCTACCCCTCCCCTCCCTCCCCCTGAACCAACTACAGCAGCACCGGCTGTAGCAGCAGAAGACATGGCAACCCCTCTCCCTCTCCCACTCTGCCCTCCCCCACCCCGACCTGCCCCTCCCACCGCCCCCACTCCAGGCCTTCCCGAACCTCCACCGCCAGGCACAAACCCTGCTGCCGAGCCTGAGCTGTAGGTATGGGGCGAGCGGGTGATGTGGTGCACCACCACAGGCGCACCTGCCTTGCCCGCAGCGGCCTGCATGAGGGAGGCGGCAGCTGAGGGAGGTGCTATCCGCGCCCCTGCTGCCACTGCTGCCGCCTGCACCAGTGGGTCCGGGGCGAGAGGTGCGTGTGAGTGAGAGAGGGAGGTGTAAGGGGAGCGGGAGGAGGAGAGGGAGGGGTGGGAGGGGTGGGAGGAGTGTGGGTGCATGGATGCACGCCCTACTGAGCCAATGCCTGGCCTAGGTCCCCCTCCTATCCCTCCTCCCACTCCTCCCATACCTCCTGCTGCTGCTCCTACTCCTGCTGCAGAACCTGATGCTGATCCTCTCCCTGCTGCTGCTGCAGCAGCAGCTCCTGGGTTACCCACCCCTCGTCCTCTCCCCACACCCATCCTACCCATCATACCGCCGCCCACTGCCGCCCGCCCACCCGCCCCTGCTACAGCACCTCTGCCGCCCGGAAGCCCACCAGTTGAATAACCACCAGCTGTTGCCGATTTGGCAGCATTAGCAGCGGCAGCGGCGGCGGCTGAGGCAGCAGCTGCGGAAGCATATGGGGAGTTTCCTGGAAAGCCCCTGCCTCGGCCCATAGCAGTTGCCATCCGCCTCTGCTGCTGCTGTTGCTGATGCAGCAACTGCTGCTGCTGCTGCAGGTGCTGCTGGTGCTGCTGCTGCTGATGCTGCGCCCATGCCTGTGCTGACGTCAGCCTGCCTGTCGTTCCCCTCCCACTCGCACCCCTGCCTGCCGCCCCACTAGCCATCCCACGGGCCAATCCCGAACTGCCAACTGGCACTGCAGCAGATCCGGTTCTGTGAGCCCATTGGTTGGGTGCTGACGTGGAAGGGGGGTACTTGGGGGGGATGGAGGAGGGGTGCATGGTGTGGGTGTGGGGTGTGAGGGAGTGTGTGTGAGTGAGAGTGTGCGGGGGAGCGTGAGAGAGTGAGGAGTGAGGGTACCCACCAGAGTACGTGGGTGTGTGCCTGATGGGATTGGAATAAACGTCTATTTGACCCTGGCCCTGTCCCTGCCCCTGCTTCTGTCCCTGTCCCTGTCCCTGTCCCTGTCCCTGCCCTTGTCCTTGCCCCTGCCCCTGCATGTGCAGGGATCCCATCTCATGCTCCTTCCTCTCCCCCACACCCCCACCTTCCCCCAAACCACCACTGCTACTCGCTGTTCCTCTCTGCTGCGCTGGCTGCAGTTGCTGCTGCTGTTGCTGCTGCTGCATCCCTGCCCCATTCCCATCCCCAGTCTCCCCTCCCACACCACCCTCTCCTGCCTTACCAGCCGCTTCAGCCTCCGCTCTAGCTGCTGCTTCTCTTGCTGCTTCCCTAGCTGCTGCCTCCCTTGCTGCCTCCCTCACTGCTTCTCTCGCCGCTTCCCTTGCTGCTGCTACCCTCGCAGCAGCTTCTGCTTTCGCCGCTGCCTCTTTCGCAGCAGCCTCTCTAGCAGCAGCCTTCCTAGCAGCCGCCTCTTTCGCCGCTGCTTCTTTCGCTGCGGCTTCTTTAGCTGCTGCTTCTCTCGCTGCTGCCTCCCGAGCCTCCCTTGCCTTGCGGCCCGGGATGGGCACTCCTTCCTTCTCAAACTTCTTTCGTAGAATGTACCAGCGCTGGCATGACGGTGGGGAGGAGTGAGAAAGAGAGAGCAGAGAAAGCGGGGTGTGAAGGAGACCGAGAGCAATGGAGTTGGGATCGGAAACCTCTCTTTCTCAGAAATTTTGCATAGAATGTACCAGCGCTGGCATTCGAGTGGAAAGGAGGGGGACGCGCAGAGAGAGGGAGTTGGGTTGGGAGGGAAGGGGACAGTGAGGAGCAGGCAATGGAAGAAAGTAATGACCTGGTATCAGCACCCCTCCTTCTCGAAGTTTTTTTTCACAGGATGCACCCACCAACCCACCTGCCCGCCCACACCCACCCACACACACACCCACCCACACACCTACCCACCCACCCACCCACCCACACACCTACCCACCCACACACCTACCCACCCACCCACCCACCCACACACCTACCCACCCACACACCTACCCACCCACCCACCCACCCACCCACACACCTACCCACCCACCCACCCACCCACACACCTACCCACCCACCCACCCACCCACCTACCCACCCACACACCTACCTACCCACACACCCACCCACCCACCCACCTGCCCACCTGGGACAGCTGGGGGCGTTCCTCTTGAGCACGCACCCTCACTGCCCCTCCCCATACACCTCTATCACCTTCAGCAGCAGCAGCAGCAGCAGCAGCAACTGAGGCAAACACAGACCCACAAACCCCATACAACCCACCCACCCACCTGAGACAGCTGTGCCGCATTCCGCTCGATCCCTAAATCACTCTTGAGCATGCGCCCCCACTGCCCCTCGCCGTACACCTCCACGGCCTTCAGCAGACAGCAGCAGCAGCAGTGGCAGCAGCCGCTAGGCACACACAGACCCACAAACTCCATACATCCCACCCACCCACCTGGGACAGTTGGGCGGCGTTCCTCTCGATCACTAAATCGCTCTTGAGCACACGCCCCCACTGCCCCTCGCCGTACACCTCCACCGCCATCAGCAGACAGCAGACAGCAGCAGCAGCAGTGGCAGCAGCAGCTGAGGCACACACAGACCCACACACTCACCTGGGATAGCTGGGCAGCGTTCCTCTCAATCCCCAAATCACTCTTGAGCACGCGCCCCCACTGCCCCTCGCCATACACCTCCACCGCCTTCAGCAGCAGCTTGTCCTCATCGGGCGTCCATGCCTTGCGCTTCTTCTTCGCCTCTCCATCCGCTGCTCCTGCTCCCCCTCCCGCTTCCCCCGCTGTGCCCCGTGCTCCCCCTGCTGCCCCTCCCCCTCCCCCTGCAGCCCCCTTTCCCTCTGTGCCGCCACTGCCCCCGCCTGCACTACCTGCAGCAGCAGCGGCAGCGGCAGAAGCAGAGGCAGAGGCAGCGGCAGCAGCAGATGCAGAAGCGGCAGCGGCGCCTGCCTTGCTGGGTTTGGCCGGCTGGGCGTTGCTGCTGCTGGTCTTCTTCTCGCCTGCCCCACCCTCCCCCCCACCGCCTGTCGATGCCTTTGCTGCTGCTGGCTTTCCGGCAGCGGCTTTCGCTCCGTCCTTCTTCCCTCCCCCTTCCCCTCCTCCCCCCCCTGCCCCTGCAGCCAAGGCTGCTTCTTCTGAACCCTTCCCCAATGCCTTCCGACTCCCTCCTCCGGCTCCTGCTACTCCTCCTCCGGCTCCTGCTACTCCTCCTCCGGCTCCTGCTACTCCTCCTCCGGCTCCTGCTACTCCTCCTCCGGCTCCATCCCCTGTCTTGCCCTGCTCCTTTCCCATCCCACCCTCCCCCTTTGAACCATCTGTAGCCTTGGGCACTGGCGCGTGTTGACTCACCAGCCGAGCCACCGGCTTGTTCTCCTCCTCGTCCTCATCCTCCTCCCCATCCTTACCCTCCCCACCTTCATCCCCCCCATCCCCGTCTTCCCCCTCCCCCCCATCGCCCACCTTTCCTGTCCCTCCCTTCCGTCCCTGCTGCCCTTCTCCCCTCCCTTCTCTCATCCCCTCCCATTTCCGCTTCTTTCCCCCCTCCCCTCCCCTCTCCACGTCCCCTCTTTCCCATCTTCCCTCCTCTATCCCCATCTCCCCCACCCCAATCTCAGCAGCAGCAGGGTCGACAGGGTGCAGAGGGGTGTGGGTCTGGGCAGTCGAAAGGGCAGGGGTGGCAGGATCGGGGGTGCCTAAGTCCCAAGGGTCATGAAAATTCTCTCCTTGTGTGTGCTGCTGCCGCTGCTGCTGCCGCGCCTGCTCCTCCCACGCCTCCTGCTGGCGATCCTTGGCCTGTGCCGTGCCTTGCTCCTTGTGCGTCTGCCCTCCTCCATCCGCCTGCTGCTGCTGCCGTGTGTCGTGCTTTTGAGGCGCCTCAGAGGTGTCGTGCTTCCCTGGGTGGCATGAGTGGTACCACCCATAGGCAATGCCCGAATCAGCCAAGTCAACCTACGATGTACATGGGGCATGCAGCAACGCGAGCAGGGATGAGGAAAGACCTGCTTCTGATGAAGGAACTCAGATTGAGCTTAAAGCCCTTTCTGACTGCTTTCGATGAGACAAGTTTAGAGACTGTTTCAGGAGATTTCTAAGCCCACTCTAATTCCTCGAGGTTGCATTCTCCTTTCTTCTCTCGCCTCTCAGCAAGACCCATAGGTTGACAGCTCTGAATCTCATCGGCCCAACAGTCAACACTTGTACCAGAGACTTTACTCACAGCGATTCCGAACAAGCTTTGGTTGGTTCCGTAAGAGCCCCAACCACTCAGCAGCCAGAGAGACTCGAGCAAAGTGCACCTCGATGCAAGCACACTTGACACACCTTGAAAAGTTTAGAGTTGACTCAAAACTCGTTTACACACCTTGACAAACGATGCAGCGGCGGAAATGAGGTGAGGAGACGTGTCGAGCGGGTATTCGAGCTCGTCCTCCAAATCGCTCTCCTCCTCCTCCTGCCACACACACTCACATACACACACAAAGTAATTGTTATACCATGTGTTGTGTTGCACTAGTGCACATGACGCGAACTATTCAGGTGTTTCAGAGGCGATGTGTCCAGAGGATACTCCAGCTCATCCTCTAAGTCGCTCTTCTCCTCCTCCTGCCACACACATACACACACACGCACACAGAGTGAGTGCCATGCCATGTGTTGTGACGCATGAGTGCAGAAGACATAAGAGTTATTCAGGTGTCTCAGAGACCAATGTGTCCAGAGGGCACTCCAGCTCATCCTCTAGGCCGCTCTCCTCCTCCTCCTGCCACAAACATACACACAGAGTGAGTGCCATGCGCATGTATTGTTTTACATCAGCGCATGACATGGGTTAATCAATCGCCTCAAAGGCGATGTATCTAAAGGTCACTCCAGCTCGTCCTCCTCCTGCAACAAACATACACACAGAGTGAGTGCCATGCGCACATGACATGTGCTAATCAGGTATCCTAAATGGCGATGGTGTAAGAGGGTATCCCGGCTCGTCCTCTAAATCGCCTCTCCTCCTCCTCCTGCCACACCCATACACACAAGAGTGCCGCGCCATGTGTTGTGATGCATGAGCGCATCTGACATGGGCTATTCAGGTGTCCCACAAGGCAATGTGTCTCGTGGGCAGGAAAAGGAGGGGGAGCGATTTTGGAAAGGCAATTTGCCTACTGGGTATTCAAACTCGTCCCCCAAATCGCTCCCCTCCTCTTCATGCCACACACACAGTGCCTTGCCCTGCCATGCTGTGCGAACACATGTTTTGAGGCACCTAAAAAATCACCAGCAGCGGCATGGAGAGCAGCGTGCCGAGGTGCGAGAAGGGGTGGGCAGGGGTGGGCGGTTGTAGGCGAGGCAGCGCAACGACCACGCAAGTGCAGAGGAGGAAACTCACCAACAGGGGTGCGGAGGGGAGGGTGTCAAGGTGCGAGAAGGGGAGGTGTAGGCAAACCAGCGCCAGAGCAGCTGGCAGAGGCGAAAACACCTGAGGGGAGCAGCATCTTACCAGCAGGGGCACGGAGGGTAGAGTGTCCAGGTGCGAGAAGGGGCGGCCGTAGGCCAGCCAGCGCCAGAGCAGCTGGCAGAGCGCCAGGCTGGTGACGGGGAAGCTGTGATTGGCCGAGAGGCGGGCGGCGATGGACGGCCAGTGGAGGTGGCGCCGGTACGATGCCTCCCGTGCCACCTCATGGAGCAGAGCCATTATGAAGGCCGCCCCGTACCTGAAGGGGGTTGTGTGGGTGTTAAGGGGGGAATGTGTCATGAAAGCATTGTGAGGGTGGGTGGGTGTATGGCTCGTTGTAGGATGCCTCCCGTGCCACCTCGTGCAGGAGAGCCGTTATGAAGGCCGCTCTGTACCTGATGTAAACAGGGATGGGAGGATGAGGGGGGTGGGGAGGATGAGGGGGGTGGGGAGGATGAGGGGGGTGGGGAGGATGAAGGGGGTGGGGAGGATGAAGGGGGTGGGGAGGATGAGGCAGTACCAGCACCTTAACCCTGGAGGAGTACGGGCAGTGCAGTTGGCAGTGGTGTGATGCCTCTCATGCCACCTCATGCAGGAGAGCCGTTATGAAGACTACTCCGTACCTGATGTAACCAGAGGGATGGGGGAGGAGAGTGAAAGGATGAGGCAGTACCAGCAGCAGCATGGTGGCAGTGCAGGTGGCGGCGGTGGGATGCATGCACGCTTGCAGTGACACACACACACACTCACTGGTGGCAAGCAGCTGCCACGTCAGCCTCTGAGAGGCTCCGCGTGCCATGCATGCTGATGTCTATCCCCGCTGCTGCCAACGCTGCCACCGTCCCCCCATCCATGTCAACCCCCCCCTCATCATCCCCCTCCTCATCCTCCTCTTCATCTTCCTCATCTTCCCCCTCCCCCTCCTCATCAGTATCATCATCAGCTTCCTCCACATCCACACTCTCCTCCTCTCCCTCTTCTTCCAATGCTATCCCCCCCTGCTCCGCCCTCTCACTCCCTCCTCCCTTCCCTCTCTCCTCCCCCTCCTCCTCTTGCTCCAACATAATCCAGTCATCTCCCTTCCCACCATCACCACGTACCTCCCCCATCCCACCACCCCTCGCCGCACCCGCGAATCCAATCTTCACCACTCCTCCCACACCTGCCGCCCCTGCCACCCTTCCCCCTCTCCCCCTCACTTCCTCCCCCCCTCTCCTCCCCCCTTCACTCCCCCTCCCCGCACCACCCTTCTCACCCTCCCCCACCATACCCACCTTGGCCCCACCCCTCCCCCTCGCCTCTGCTTCAGACTTCACCACCACCACCTCTGCTGCCTTTACAGCCTTCCCACCCATCTGAAGAGCCTCAAAACTCTCTGAACCCTCGGGATTCTCTGGAATTTCAAGGCTCCCTGGAGTGGCGTGGGCGTCAGAGCAAGTCTGTGCCTCGGAAGTGACAGCAGGAGGCCAGTCCAACCCCCCTCCCAGGCTCCTCGCAGCAGCCATGGCTGCTGCTGCTCGGTCCGCTGCTGCAGACGGGACAGCCGGGCGCGGGGGAGCAGGTGGGGGGGCGCGGGGGGAGGCGCGAGGGGGAGGGCGAGAGGAGGGGCGAGGGGGGGAAAGGACGGTAGCGGAGCGAGTGGATGGGGGAGCCATGGGGCGAGCAGCAGCAGCAGCAGCAGCGGCAGCACTAGGAGTAGCCTTGGCTTTGGCTTTGGTGGGGGTTGTTGCACCAACTCTCTGCCCGTCCCTCTGCCCGTCCCTCCGTTCTGCACCCCTCCCCTCAACCATGGGACCCTTGCTCCATTGCTGCTCTGCCTCCTCTGCACTGTCTGCTCTTTCTCTCCCCTCTCGTCCCTCTCGCCCCTCTTTTCCCTCTCTCCCTTCCCTCCCTTCTCGTCCCTCTTGCCTATCCCGTTCGCTCGACCCTGTCACAGCAATAGCAGCAACATCAGCAGCATCAGGAACAGCGCCAGCAGCAGCGCCACTCCCATCACCACCACCAGCACCGGCACCGGCATCGTCATCCGCCTCTCCTCGCCTCCTCTTCCTTGAAAACCGTCCTCCAGCCTCCCCTCCTACACCTCCAACTTCCCTTCGTGTCCCTCCTCCCTTCTCCCCTTTCCTCTCCCCTTGCCTTTCCCCCCCACTCTCCTCTACCCCTTCCTTGCCGCACTGACTTCCTCTCTCCCGTAACCCCTTCCCCCCCCACCTCTCCTTCTCCCCCTTCACTCCACCTCTGCTGCTCGTTTCCTCTCGCACTCCCTTGCTGCCTCCTTTTTCCGTGCGACCCATCGCTTTACCATCTGCACCGCTCTCCATTCTCCCCTTCCACACGCCTTTCCCCTTCCGCCCATCGTCCCCTTTCCCTTCCCCATCTCTCTCCCCATCCGCCCCCCTTCTTCCACCTTCCTCCTCCTTCCCTGCCCCTTTCTTGCTCCCCTCCTTCCTCCCCCCATCTCCCTCCTCCCTTTCATCCCCATCACCGCCCTCCCACTCCTCCCGACCCCACCGCCCTTTCTTCCGGGCGGGCGAGATCAGTGCCAGCCTGGCAGAATGCCTAGTGGGGCTCAGCGGCTGCTTCCCCCCCGCCGCCCGCTTCTGGGCGGCAGACTGCTTCGACTGGGCGGCATGCTTGGCAGGGGCGGCTTGTTTGGGCGGCAGAGGGGCATGCTTGGACTTGGAAGAAAACGGCTTTTTGAGGGATGATGACTTTTGGGATGAGTCAAAGGTCACCTTGAGAGTCGGCTTTTTCGAAGAAGACGAGAGTTTGAATGACTTGGAGTGGTTTGAGGGCGGCAGCTTACCCCCTCCTCCCTTCCCTCCTCCTTTCCCTCCTCCTCCACCCCCTCCCCCACCCTCTCCTCTGTCTCCTGTTCCTGCCATGCCTGCAGCACCTGCATGCTTCCCCCTGCGCGCACCTGCCTCTGCGCCTTCCACCTCTCCCTCTCCTCCTCCCCTCCCTCCTCCTCCTCCTCCTCCTCCTCCTCCTCCTCCTCCTCCTCCTCCTCCTCCTCCTCCTCCTCCTCCACCTCCTCCATCCGCTTTCGCTGCCCCATCTCCCACCCTCTCCACCTTAATCATTCCCCCTCGTTTCACTGCTGTAGCTGTGGCTGCTGCAGCGGTGGCAGTGGCAGTGAGGGGGTGGGAGTGTGCTGTGTGGGGGGCAGGCCGAGCAGGCTCCAGGACAACGGTGGCCACCGTGGGGTGTTCTGCGTCTACCGCCACTGTAGCAGTCACTGTAGTCGCTACTGTAGCAGCGACCGTGGCTGTTACTGTAGCTGGCAATGTGGCAGCGGCTGTAGCAGCGGCTGTGTCAGCATCAGCAACCCCTGCAGCATCCCCAGCAGCACTATCAGCAGCAGCAGCGGCACCAGTCATGGCCCCACCACGAACCCCAGACCCAACATCACCACCCGCGCCATCTGCCCCTGCCGCACCCCCCTGCTCCCTTACACCCTCCGCCCCTTCCGCTTTCCGCCCGGCCTTCCCCTTCCCCCCCTCCCCCTTCCCCTCCCCCTCCCTCTCCCCCAGCCCCCCAACCTCTCCCTTTGCACCCGCTGCGCCCTTTAAGGGTTCCTCTCCTGCATCCTTTTCCGCCACCGCCTTCTGTTCGCGCGCTGCTTCCGCTGCGGCGGAGGAGGCGGACGGCGGGGCGGCGGCGCCTGCGAGCGGGGCAGCAGCAGCGGGCGGGGGGACAGCAGGCGCAGGCGGAGCAGCAGAAGTGGCGGAAGGGGGGGCGCCCTTCCCCGGGGGCCCAGCCTGCTGTGGCGCCCCTACCGGACCCGCACGTGCTGCGACTAGTTGCACCTGCCCTTGCGCTAGTTGCCCTTGCGCCGCCTGCCCTTTCGCGAGCTGCCCTTGCGCCGCGAGCGCCACCGCCGGGAGCGGGGCCGCGCCAGTAGCGACAACGCGGAGGATTGGCGCAATGCGCGGGCGATTGGCGCGCTGCACGTGGAGCAGCGCAAGCTGGCCGTCCGTCCGCGCCATTGGCGGAAAGCGGGGTGCGGATTCGGGCGAGAGATTTCGAGAGAGAGGTGTGTAAAGGCTCGACAAGGCACTATGGAAGTTGAGCCTGCAAATAGCTCCGCCGCGGGTTTGTCGCTACGACGGAAAGGCGACGAGTTGTGAGCATCGTCGAGCGTGTGACGGGAACAAGCTGCATTAACGATCGTGATAGAAAAGAGCGTGGCTTTACTGAATTGCGTTTAGTGGCTTTGACTTGGGCTGCATTCTTTGCCTATTAGGTGACTATAGCGGGGGTAGATTGCGCTGACATGGAGTTGAAATGGCCAAACTGTAATGTGCAAGCGGTCGAAGTGTACTGTAGAAATAAGTTGCAGATAAATGGTAACGTGTTGGCGAGGTTCCACGGAATTCATCGCACAGACGAAACCCTCGTCACCATCACGCTCCCGCCAAAAAGGGCATCAGAAAGATCGCGCGCGCTGCGACGGCCAGCCCAGCACTTCGCGCTTCCGCAATTCCGCGCACAGCCAGAACCGCAGGTGCTTGGGGTCGTGCGCGCACTGCATTTTTTTCTTCCGCTCAACCCCACGTTCGCCCCGCCAGTTACCCTTCTTCCCCCATTCCCAGCTCCTGTCCCCTCCGCCCCTTAGCTGAATTCTGCACGCACACATACAGCACAAAATAAAGAGTTCTGTTGAACCCGTTAGTTATTTCCTCACGCATGCGCAGCACAACAAATAAGCAACAGCACGGAAGCGGCAGATTGGGAGGCTTCAGAGTGACATCTTGTTCTCGCCTGTCGAGTTTAGAGCCACGGCTGATCGAAGATTTCTCGTTTCGATTCTCGTGACGTTTGGGGCCATGGCCGCCGCAGTACCACAGCTGCGTAGAGATCCCGAGGCGCCTCCAATCGCGCCGCGGCTAAAAGAGCACCAGTTGAACGTCGATGACCCTACCGTCCCATTCCTTTCCCGTGAGGACCCCGCTGACGTCATCTCGACCCCGTCCGACGTCGTCTCCTCACCTCCTGACGTCATCCTATCGCTTTCCAAAGACGAAGAACCTGTCGCATTTTCGTCGCAGGCTCCGCCAGGCGACGATCTACCGTCGCACGAGGAGGCTTCGCAAGGCGACATCGCCGTGTCGCCGAGCGACGATTACCTGTCGCCCGCGCTGCCGTCGTTTCAACAGGAGGCCTTCCCTGCTCTCCTTCCGCATAGCTCTGCGCCCATTCCCCCTCATGTTCCGCCATCCCTCGCTCCACCTTTCTCCCCACATTCGTCGGGCTCGCAGCACGCGGAGCCCACCATTCTTCCGCGGACCTCACCGCGCGCTGGACCTGCCTCCATCTCCCCGCAAGCTTCCCCCTCCCCCTACGTTCCGCGCGGCTATCTCCCGCTCTCCCCAAACGTCCCCGTGCCGTACGCACCGGCGTCCCCGGGAGTATCATCAGATAGTTTCGACCAATGGCGGTTCATGGGCAGCCCGGGAAAATCGACAACGGGCAGTCCAGAAAAAGCAGCGACGGGCAGCCCGAAGAAATTACTCACTAGCAACCTACCTGGTCCCGCAACGGGCAGTATGCAAAGATCTCTTTTTTGCGGCTTCAAGAAACTGCGCGGAAGTAGTCCCACCCGTGCAGCAGGCGATGTGAATGGGGCAGTTAACGGCAAAAGGGGAGGCGTGGAAAGCGGAGGTGGATGTAACGTGGGTGACGAGATTGGGAGTGGGGGAGGAACGAAAGAGGGGGTGTGGCGGAAAGGGGAGGAGAAGGGGCAGATGGCGGAGAGGAGAACGTTGTAGGGAGGAAGGGAGTAAGAAGAGAACCAAGGAGGGAGACCGGAGGGGAGAAGTGGATGAGGAGCAAAGGGGAAGGGGGAGCAAATGGGGAAGGAAGACCGAAGTGGGAAGGGGCAACGGAGGGGGGAGGGGGAGCGGAGAGGGAAGGGGAATGGGCTGTGGGGTGGAGCAGAGGGCACGAGGGTGCACCTATTGTGCTGGCACTGCCTGTCGTGTCTCTGCCACGTGGCAGAAGGGGATTGAGCCACGGAGACAGGTTGAGAGGTACCGTGGGGGTGAAGGGCGTGGAGTGTGTAAGGGGGATGGAGGGGAGAGAAGGTGAGCCTGTGATTGGTCGATGCACAATGGCAGGAATGGGGGAAAATGGAGAGAGGGAGGAGAGGGAGGGGAGGGAGGATGGAACTAGGGAAAAGAGTGAAGAGAGGACAGAGGAGGGGAGGGAGAAAGGGACTGCTGCTGTTATAAGAGGCGGAGAGGGAGGGGGGGAGGTGGCTGAGTCAGAAGGGTGGTGTGCCACGTCATCAACGTCATCCGTGCTTGTGGGTGGGGAGGAGGAGTGTTGTGAAGGAGAGGAGTGTGAGGGACATGCAGAAGCAGAGGAGATGCGAGAGGGGGGCAGCAAAGGTCGGGTGGAAGGGGAGAGTGAGGACGGAGAGTATGGTGGTGAGGGGAGTGCTGAGGAGGAGGGGCAGCGAGAGGCGGTAGGGCAAGGATGTAGGGGAGGAGAGAAGAAGGGGAGAGAGGGTAGGAGTGTTGCTGGCAGCAGCAGAAAGAGGAGGAGCAGTGGGATGAGGGAGAGCAGAGGGATGAGGGAGATCAGAGGGTGCAGAGCAGAGGGGGCCGGTGCAGCAGATGTAGGGATCAAGCAAGAAGGAGATGGCGTGGCTTCACAAGGGCAGAACGCTGCAGTGGCAGCAGCGCAAGCAGGACAAATGATGGGGTCGCATGGTGTGGCTTCAGAAGTGCAGGAGGGTGCAGTAGCAGCAGCGCAAGCAGACGGAGTGATGCGGTCTAATGGTGTGGCTGCACAGGGGCCGGAGGGCGTGGGCGCAGAGGCAGCAGTGCAAGTAGGTGGAATAGCGGAGTCTGATGGTTGGGCTTCACAATCGCAGGAGGGCGAGGGTGCAGTGACAGCAGTGCAAGCAGGGCGAGTGGCGGGGACTGGTGGTGTGGCGGCGCCAACTGGGGCATGGGTGCCGCCTGTGTCTCCCTTCGGCCTCATTCAGGTGGGCTGCTGTTGAGTGTGGTGCACTGTGGTGGGCTACGGTCTGCTGAGGTGTCACCCACACCTTTCCTATTGCTCATTCTGCACTCTTTCTCTACCCCCTCTCTTCTCCCTTCCTCCATTCTCCACCCCACCTCCCTCCACTCTCCCCCTTCCTCCCCCACTCAGGAGCGTCTGTATCGTGACCCGTGGAAACTGCTGGTTGCCTGCATGCTGCTAAACAAGACGGCTGGCAGGCAGGTGCGAGTCCGCAATGGCATTGCTGAGTCTCATTTGAGACATATTAAAGCTAGTTGCATGCATGCTCCTGAAAAGACAGTTAGCAGGTAAGCGTTTAGATTTTGTGTAGGGATGGTGTCCTTGATTTCGCGTAACAGAGTCGATGTAGTATAGTGGTGAGTATCCTCGCCTGTCACGCGAGAGACCCGGGTTCGATCCCCGGCATCGGCGGTATCCTTTTTCTCTGCTGTCTTTTTCACTCCTGCTAGTGAGTACAACACCACATTACTGCTGCAAAACTCTACCAGCCAAACCTCTCTCTCCCAGCCCCCTCTCTTCTGCCCTCCGCCCCCCTTCCTCCCTTCAAGGTTTCCCCTCCAACCACAACTTGTGATCAGAATCCCTTGCTTTCCTATACCACCTCCCCAACCTGCCCCCCTCTGCCCCTCAGCTGCACCGTTTATTCAGAGCCCCACTTCCTCATTTCCTTCGTTACCGCATGTCTCCCTGTTGCAACCCCCTTTCCTTTTTGCGTTGGACCTCTGATTGCCTATTCCGCCTCATCCACTTGAATAAGGCTACCATCGCGGAACTCACCCTCACACCTCAACTTGCACTAGTCTCTTTGGATCCCTCGCTTCCCTCCCATGCCTCCCTGCTCCTCCCTTTGACCCTGCTCCACCAGTCCAGTTGGGACCTATTCCACCTCATCCCCTGCCTCAATCTGCTTTTGCTGCACCCACAGACCTTGTTGCACCAGTCTTTGTAAATCCCGCACTCCCCTACCCTCTCCCTCTCCTTTTCTTTCTCTACTGCTCCCGCCTCCTCCCTGTCCCCACAGCTTCACCCAGTCATTTGGAAACCATTTGCTGCACCCACACCTCGGATTGCGCCAGTCACTCTTCATCCCTCACCATTCCCTCTCCCTTGTCCTCTCTCTTCCTACACCTCCCACACCCCACTTCCCCATCCCCCCACCGGCAAACCCCCACTGCAGCTCCATAAAGTGATTTGGGACCTATTCCGCCTTATCCCCTTACAATAGCTCTCTTCACCCCTCAACTTTCGTTACCCCCCTTCCTCCTTGTTCCTTGATAAACCACCCACCCCCCCACCCTTCCTCCCACCCTCGCACTGCAGCTTCATAAAGTGATTTGGGACCTATTCCGCCTCATCCCCACTCCAGAGGCAGCGATCGCAGCACCAACGGCTGAGATCGCACGCACCATTCAGTCCCTGGGGCTGCACAACAAGCGCGCCGCCATGATCCAACGGTTCTCGGAGGAGTTCCTGAGGGGTGATTGGACGGACGTGAGGCAGCTACACGGCATCGGCAAGTACGTGCTTGGGGGAGGGGGGGGTGAAGAAGTGATTATGGAGCATGAGATGTTGGAGGTCTGAAGCTGTTTCTTCCTTTGTGTGCTCCCTGCTCTTTGTCGATTATTTCCCGGTCTCTCCTTTGCCTGCCTTTGCTCTTTCTCTCTCGCTCTCTCGCTCTCTCGCTCTCTCGCTCTCTCGCTCTCTCGCTCTCTCGCTCTCTTGCTCTCTTGCTCTCTTACACTCTCCGCTGCCTGCTGCTGCCTGTTGCCTGCTGTGTGTTCTTCACCACGCCAGGTATGCAACGGACGTATATGCAATATTTGTCAATAGATCTGCACTGTGGATGCCCGATTGATCCTAAGGGGTTTACAGGCACGTTCGCCTGGGGGGTTACGCATAAACCCGGTACACAAACAAACCCTTTTATCTCAATGGTCTAGTGGTTGAGATTCTGACATGGCATCAGAGCGGTCTCGGGTTCGAATCCCGGTGTATGCACATGTAGGCCGTTGTCGCTGTGCTCAGTCATGGGCCTCTCAGTGTGGGGGGGTGTCAGTAGATCTGCACTGTGGATACCCGATTGATCATAGGGGGGTTACAGGCGCGTTCGCCTGGGGGGTTATGGGCGCACAAACCCGCTTCACAAACAAGCCATTTTATCCCAATGGTCTAGTGGTTGGAATTCTGACAATATTCTGTGAGGGCAGTTGGTGGGAGGAGAGGCCAACGATCACATGCCCTAACATCCCTCCCCTTCTGCCCCACCTCCTTCTCCCCTTCACCATGGCAGTTATGCAGCGGACGCCCATGCCATATTCTGTGAGGGCGGGTGGAGAGAGGTGCTGCCTAACAAACACATGCTTAATAAATCCTGTGCCTGTCTGTGCTCTCACATCCCTCCCCCTCCATTCTCCACCACGGGCAGGTACGCAGCGGACGCGCATGCCATATTCTGTGAGGGCAGGTGGAGGGAGGTGAGGCCAGACGATCACATGCTGAACAAGTACTGGGATTGGCTCAAACGCACCGACGGGCTCGGATTGGCGTTCACCGACAACTGAGGGTTCTTGCCGCCCACTGCTGGTGCACATACGGTACATTGACATGCCACGGTGCGCACCACCACATGCTGAACAAGTTCTGGGACTGGCTCAAGCGTATCGACGGGCTTGGCCTTGCCTTCACGGACGCGTGAACCCTGATTTCGTGCTACCGCGTGATCACATGCTGCGAGCAACTAGACGGCCACATGCTGAATAAGTACTGGGACTGGCTCAGGCGCACTGACGGGCTTGGCCTTAATTTTACTGATAGTTGAGGGTTGATTTGCTGCTGCTACTGCCCCTGCTGGCCGACTTGCATTGACCACATGCTCAACAAGCACCGGGACTGGCTTATGCGCTGTGACGGGCATGGGTTGGCGTTACTGGGACTTGAGCTGTGGTGCTGTGCTGTGCTTTGGAAACGTGGTCCAATGCAATGCGTGTTGATGTGCCTCACACAATGGATGATCACATGGTCACCAGGTGTGTGATTAGGGGCATGGCCTTGATTCTGCCTCTGCTGTTGCTGCTGCTGCCATAGATTGGATAGTGCTGTCATGCCAATCCATTAATAATCTATCCATTAATAATCTATCCATTCTTACACCATCCGCTACATCCAGAAAGGGGAGCACGCGGACGTTCACATTTGTTACGGTGATTGGTGTAAGCAGGCAAGATGAGCAGACAACAATCACAGTGAGCAAGGGGAAAATGCATTTGCATTGCAAGAGCACCACCTGCGGTGCTCTCTCGCAAGCCATATCACAATGAATTGATCAATCAATCAATCATGATACCGTATGGCCCCGGATATAGGCGCCGTCCGATTAAGGGCGCCGGCGCTTCTATCTGGAGCATGACGCTCATGGCCGGAAGTCGATTATAAGCGCCCCCCCTCTAGTGGGTGTACTTATTATAAGCGCACCTTTTCACGTTGTGGAGAACTCATTACAAAAAAAACATCTCTAATTAACACTAAACATGAGCATGCTAACTTTACACCTACAACATCATCACTGGCATTTTTATCTAGCTACATATTGCAAAGTTAAGCATCTCTACCTAGAAAATCTACTCCTCCTCGTCGGATTCTGGCTCCTGGCAGTTGTTGCCAAAGAAGCCATCGGCGATGATGGAGTCATCGACATCCACCTCCGCGGTCAGCTGGCTCCGCCTGTGCGCCATGGCGAGGCCGTCCTCACTGCCGTCAAGCGCGTTGCTGATGCCACAGGTGAGGAAGGCGCGCTTGATGAGGTCGGCGGGCACTGCTTTCCAAGCCCGTGAGATCCACCTCACGACCACCTCTGGGGGTGGCTTCTTCAAGTTCCCTGTACCAACAGAATCACATGAAATGAGACGGTAGTTAGCGCAACAAAAGGGGGGAAAATCTTCTACGGTAGTCTAGGGACTCGCGTGGCTACCGTACCTGCTTTGGTTAGCTGTTCTTGGCCTTCTTCCTGAAACCACTTCTGATACTGCTGGCGAACGCTCGCCTTAAAGCTCTTGTTGATGGAGACGTCGAGGGGCTGTACCTCCGCCGTGCAGCCAGACGGGATGATCGCCGGCACGCAGTTGAGCTCGCGAAACCTCTCCTTTACGGCATCAGTGAGGTGACCGCGGTACGAGTCCAGTACGACCATCGAGCTCCGCGCATGCCTCCCGAACCCAGGCTTTAGAAATGGCTTGACGCACTCCTCAAGCCATTGTATGACGCCGTTGGCGTCCATCCAGCCGTTCTCGTGACACGACACGACCACATCTGCATAACAAACAAGCTTCTGTAAGTCTCTTTAAAAACAAAGACCGGTGTAAAGCAAACAAACAAGAATCCTGACTCACCCGGCGGGAACACCCCTTTCGGCACGGTCTTCCGCTTGAAAAAAACCCACGGCCTCAGCTTCATCCCGTCCGCCGTGCACGCCAACATCACGGTCACGCGCTCCTTCTGGTACCCTGCGCTCCTGATGGGCACCGACCGAACACCGGTTTGATCGACGGTAGTGGTGGCGGGCATCTCCAGCCACAGCGGCGTCTGGTCGGCGTTGATAATCCACGTCGTCTCGATGCCGCGCTCCCGACGCTTGTCACGGACGAATTGCCAGAAGTTCTTGCATTGCTCCGCGACATCTGCGGTTGAGCACAGTTACGGTTAGTGAGTAACAAGTGCATACACATGGCATAGAGAATAAAAATGATTCTTACGGGCGGCGGTTTTCTGGGCGACCTTCGTCTTCATTCGCACGCTGAGATTCCACCGCCGACGGAACCGGTCCGACCACCGTTGGCTCCCTTTCCACTTCACGAGGGGGTAGAGAATCTTCATGAACTCCCGGACCACTCCTGCAGGCGGCCGACGGACACCGCGGTTCCCTTGCGTCGCCAGTCGAGCAGTCGCTCATACACCTTAATCTCCATCGGGCGGTACCACGACGCCCTGCCGCGACCGTGCATGCGGCACCTGGCAGAGTGGGCTTCCTTGAGGAAATCAGCGGCACGCTTCCAGTTGGCGAGGCACTTGCGGTGGATGCCACTCTCGTGAGCCAGAGCGCGCACCGACACCGCCAAATCCAGCTGCGCGACCCACTTCAACTTCTCGGCGGCAGTATAGGCCTGACGCTTGTGGTCGTTGGGCTTGTGCCTGAGAGAGGGGGGGCGAGAATCACGGTTCTGTGAAGAAGGGTGAGGTCGCTTACGATTACGTGGAGGATAAGTTGGTATCGGGAGTTTCTCGGGGAGGCCATCGCGTGACCAGTATTCGACGCCGTCGTCGTCGTCACCGCTCGGCGCACCCTCGGGAAACACATCCTCAGCAGTGCCGGCCTCAGTAGCGGCCTCGGTGTCGGCCTCAGTGCGCCAACCGTCCTCGGCGTCTTGCACGTCGTCATCAGCGCCGACTGCAGATTCATCCCACGTGAAATCTTCTGGCTGGCCCCAACGTGGTGCTGGCGCTGGAGCGGGTATGTCAACATCGGGGCCCTTGTCATAATCCGGTTCCGACAGATACTCGTCGAACGCCGATGGGAGCAGGAGCGTGAGCACGGGGTGGTTGTCGATGTGAGGGGCCACCGGACACGGAGGAACAGGAGGAACAGGAGGAGCAGGGGGAGTCGGAGGCACTGGAGGAGCCGGAGGAGCAGGCGGCGCAGGAGGCTGTGGTGGCTCTGGAGGGTCTGGAGGTATGCGGCTATACCACCCGTCGGATGTAACACGGTACGCGGGCCTACTAGAAGGTTTTTTCTTGAAGAGAAAATGAGTGCCTGTGAATTCCGCCATGGCTTCCGCAGCCAGGCGGGCGAGAAAATGAAGACTGAATCAAAAACTGCAACCCTGGGTGTTGAAATGGGAGATTGAAGGGGACCCCTTCTGGTTTGCGGCTCGGGGTCCTCGTCGATGAGAGACGAGTACACCCCTGCCCCAACCCGCAGAGGAGGGTTGGGGGCACCATCCATGCTGCGCTGGCACGGCAGATTCCATCACGTTCTGGATGGTTCTGCCGAGATGCTCCTGCCTGGCAGCGCATGCCAACCTGATTGGGCCGCACGGCAGGTTTTGCATCAGCGCTGGCAGGTGCGTTGCACCGGGACGGGTTTTGTGCGGTGGGAAATCGAACCGCGGCAAGTTTCGACGTCATTCCATGCACGACCCCGCGTGCATGGTACAGTGCTGTACTCGCCTTCTCCACGGCTTCAGAATGATATCCTTTACAGAGAAATTCATTTTTGCCTTTATAAAAGCGCCGGCGCTTATGGCCGTTACTCAATTACAAGCGCCCCCCTTAAAAAATAATAATTTATTATAAGCGCATATGCGCTACTATCCGGGGTATTACGGTACCCTCTCATCCAGCAATTTAATCAACCTCTAGAACGAAGCAGGCCAGAGCATGCCAGCATACGGTAGGTATCATCCAGGGGAGCAGCATAGCAATCCCCCAGCATGTGCAAATCCTGCACGTGCATATCAGTCAATCAGGATATCCTCTCTCATCCAGCACCCTAATCAGCCTTTGGAATGAAGCAGGCCTGAGCATGCCCGCATATGTGTCATCGGGAGGAGCGGGATAGCAATCCCCCAGCACGTGCAAATCGCGCATGCCTCTAGCCCCCCGCACCACCACGTTCAGCAGATGCTCATTGGCTGTCGTGCAATGCACTGCCAGCTGGCGCAGCGACTGGCACGACCCGAGGATCCCAGCAGACGGCATCGACATGGATCGACGGTTGAGATCGCAGTCCGACGGCGGCCAGTAGTGCAGCGATTCTAGCCCTGGCAGCAGCTGGATTCCATGCAGGTAGAACCGTTCCCAGGCCATCACATCATAGGCTAGCCCAGGCGGGCAGCTCAGCGAATGCCCCACCACTTGTGTCAAATCAAGCCGCAAAAACCGCAGCGCCGGGTAGCCGGCCAGACAGGAAAGGCCGAAGCCCGCCGCCCCGGGGCCGGCTGCGAGCCGACAGTCGCCGTACACTCGGATGTGGACGTGGGTGAGTAGGGGGCAGTGGAGGAGGCCGGCAGAGGGGAGTTGAGAGAGGAGGGTGCCCAGGGCGGCGAGGAGAGTGAGGGACTGCAGAGCAGGCCATTGGGAAGAGTCTGGTGCGGTGGACGGGTGTTGTGCTGCTCCTGAGCCGTACAGCAGCTCTTCTGAACTGTCTGCTCCTGCCCTGCCTTCCAGTCGCCGCCTCCCCCCTGCCTGCTTCACCATGCCCTCCCCTGCCCCTTCGCCAGCAGCACTACCAGCAGTACCGGTACCAGTACCATCAGCACCATCACCATTTCCATCTGCACCGCTTCGAACCGGGGAAACGGGAGCCACGCTGCTGTTCGGGCAGAACCAGTCACAGGAGCAGTGCAGGTGCTGCAGCGTGCTTCTAACGGGGGAAAGAGCCCTGAGCACCGCTGCTGTGGGCAAATTACAGCACTTCACTACAGTCACCCGGACCAGCGAGTGCCGGCACACCCGAGCCACAGCCTCCAGGCTCGGCGGGGTCAGGTCCGGGCAGCCCCAGATGCTGAGTTCCTTGAGGCGTGGGCAGGAGAGGGCGAGGGGGAGCAGGCAGCGCAGGGGAAGTGAGGGGGCTTGCCAGAAGTCGAGAGCTTCAAGGCCATGAGGGAGGATGGTGGAGGTGGAGGAAAGGGTGGTGGGGGCAGCTTGTGATGCTGACGAGGATGATGCGGCTACGGAGAATGGTGGTTTCACGGATGATCCCTGTCCAGATGTACCTTCCCCAGATGTACCTTCCCCTGATGCAGGCACTGGCGCCAGGGAATCGTTATGGGCGAAAACCAACTGTCCCAGACGCAGCCGCTTCAGGTTCGGACTCAGCTGCCCCAGACTCACTGTTGCAGTTACCCCACCCCTCTCCCCCCCACCACCAGCACCACCAGCACAAGCAGCAGCAGCGCCGCCGAATAGACTCACATCTGCCCCCCTCAAATACTGCGCCGGCCGCAAATCCAGCTCCTCCAACCCCGGCAACCGCACTAAAAACGACCGAATGCCGCCCGGCGTGACCCGCGCATCCATATCGGGCGGCAGCGCATTGTCATGGTCCCCGAGCGCGAGCGACAATCCCGAGGGCGCCGCCCAGAGGGACGAATCCACCAGCTGCAGCGCAGTCAGCACCGGACACCTCTCAGCTATCTCAATTAGGGTTTCGTCTGAGAGGGAATCGGAGAGGCGCGGGTCGAATTCGACGAGGCAGCGGAAGGAGAGGAGGGTGCGGCCAGCGGAAGAGAGGATTGAGCGGATGTTTGATGCTTTGAAGGCGCCGGGGGAGGACTTGAGGAGGTTCAGGTGGCGCAGGGCGGAGATGGGCGCGGAGGTGCGGGGGAGAGGCGCGCGGGGGGGCTTGTAGGGGGGTTCCGCTGCTGCTGCTCCTCCTGCTCCTGTGGCCGAAGCAACAGCAGCAGCAGCAGCGGCGGCGGCGGTGGCGGCAGCGGTGGCGGCGGCGGCAGCAGCAGCAATGGCAGCGGCGGCCTGGGGGGCGGTAGTGAAGGCATCAGTAACGTGATCAGGGAAGCACGTGAACTCCGACAGGTCTATGCTCTGTACTCTGCTGCACATCACCAGTAGTGGAGTCAGCTCTAGGGTTCCTAGCGGGTTCGCATTCAGATTAGGGTTGTTATTGTTGTTTGCTCTTTGCTCTGCTGCTGCTGCAGCTGCTTCCGCTGCAGAAAACTCGTGCCAGCGGATCAAAGCCACGTGCTCCAACCCCGGCCACGTGGCCGCCACGCACTGCAAGTCGTTCCGGTCCCGCACGTGCACGCGGAGAGAGGTCACCCGCGGGAAGGCCGCGCGGAGCGCGGTAGCTACCGCGAGCGCGGGGCCCGCGAGCAGGAGCGGCTGCCCGCAGGGTGGGCAGAGAGAGAGGTCTAGTCGGCGCACGTTGGGGAAGCATCGCGGAAGCTCCAGGAGGTCCGCGAGGGAGCGGCGGACGGAGAGGGAGGTGCGCGTGAGGCGCTCGCTCGTGCGCCATCGCCGCGAGACGAGCGCGCAGCAGTTGCGCGCGCGCGCGTCCAAGACCCGCGCGATGATCTCGAGAATGACCTCGTCGGGGAGTAACCCCTCCGTCGTGCTCTCCGCCGCTGCCACGTCAGCCTTCGGTGCGTGCGCTGCGGCTTCTCCAGCTCGCTCCACGTCATCTCCGCCTTCAACAGCCACGTCAGCTTCGCCTTCGCGACACGTATCAGCCGCATCCCGGCCGTCGTCACCCGCAACCCCAACTTCCAGGAACCTTCTAAGGCCCAACAATTGATTCGTTGAGATACCGAACCCTAACCCGTTAGCTGCCGCACATAGTGGGTTCGCGTTCATGGAAGCTTGAGACAATGGATGCGCGGACAACGAGGACGCGTATAACGAGGTCGCGTATATCGAGGACGCAGGATTGACGGCTGTTTCAAACCCGCCGCCCTCGTCACCCCCCTCCTCAACGGCTCCGCGAAAAAAGGCGTCATCGTTTCCATCAACGGACGTACAATTTATATCCGCTAAACCGTTATCCTCCTCTAAATCTTCGCTAAATCCGTCATCCTCCTCCTCCTCCGCCTCCTCCTCCTCTCCCTCGTCCTCCTCTGCTCTCCCCTCATCACCCGCTCCGCTGTCCCTCTCATTCACCGAAAAACCGGGAACTCTTGACGACATAAAACTCCCTCCCTCCGCGAGATCAAGCTCACTCGAACTCCGTCCCCGCTTCCTGCTAGCTCCGCCAATCGCGTCGCAGTTTGGATGACCGTTGATGTCACCGGTACCATGATCGCCCGTAACATGACGGTTCGTACCATCACCGCTCGTACATTGACCGATCGTATCGTGACCGTTGAAGTAACTCTCGCCTCCACCATTCCCACCCTCCTCCACCTCTCCCTCCACATCTTCCTCCGCCTCCTCGCTTTCCACGTCGAAATCGCTATCCAAATCTCCCCCGCTCAAATCATTCGCCATATCCCCTCCTCCACTGCTTCTACCCTCCTGCTCCTCCGCGACCGCCTCTCTCTCCACACCCGCCGCTTCCTCCCACATACGCCTCCTAACGAACACGCCGTTACTCGCGCTCATCCTGGACCTCCAGCTTCACGTCTGCACGCTGAATTGCTTGCAATAGATGTTCTAGTCAGTGTCCTGTGCGACAGTACGTCACTAGTTTTTTTTTCCTGCAGCTGCTTTTCGCTAAAGACGGCTTCACTTGGATTTCCTTCGCAGCGCACGAGGCCTGTCTGTCAACTGATTCAGCCGCGGCTAGTTCAACGTTTGCTCAGCATCGCGCAACAGCTTGGCAGGAATAAGCAGTCCGTCATTTGGTTTGCCGAACAAGCACTGGGGAATGAGGACAAGCATCCATCACATCACGTGTATCTACATGACAACAACACAATCTGAACCTACAAGTTGGAATGGTGGCGAGATCATCCGAAAATACTAGGAGCTCTCAAAATCGTGTGAAGGGCATTGCAACTTTGTACGGAAGGCAAGGGAGAGAGGCCAGACAGAGAGGAGAGAACAGCAGAGGCCATCACGGGGGATAACGCCGTGGCGGGAGAGGGAAGGGGGGAGCGGGGAGAGGGGAGCGAGGAAAGGGGAGGGGGACGAGGGGTGGGGGAGCTGGGAGCGGGGAAAAGTGGAACATGATGGGAAAGAGGCTGACAGGCAGGCGTGGTCCTGACGAGAAGCAGACAAGCCTGGTTGTGGCGAAAACAAGTGCAAGGAAATTTCCTTTTCCTTACTTCGCGTCCCTCCTCAGCGCGTACACCACTGTTTTCCACCAACACCACCCAACAATAATCCGTTACCACTCGCGACACTCGCCTCGACACTGTTCCCGCAACTGTTCACGACGCGACCCAACCTCACGGTCGGTTGGTAACCCGCGCTCCGGACCTCCGCCTCGACAATCCCCAACCTCGGTGCTAAGCCCGTCGCGCACCCCATTCTCCACACATTACCGTTACCACTGTAGTTTCGCTATATATTCTTCGCTCATACCTTCGCTCATTGTACTCTTGCTTCGATAGTGCAATTCTCGCTCGCTCACTCAATTGCACTCGTAACACTTGGTATTCAGAGCCTACGATCTCCTCTCGGACCGCACCCCCACCTTCGCTTCCCCACTATCTCAAATTTGGGGGGGGGGGGGGGGGGGGGTAGACGTCACTCAGCGAACAAGCATCGCCGCTCGAAGTGCTCTCTCGTAAGCACGCACGGCCACGACAGAGGCTCTCGCTGAGCTTGCCCGACACCCCCGCCATGGCTGAAATTAATCTCGCGATACTGACGCAAGAGCAGCTCGACCGTCTCGTGCGCCAACTCGAAGATTCGGCACTCGAAATTGCGACACTCACGGCGGAACGCGACTCCGCTCGCCAGCAATCGACGGTGAATGCACCAGCACCAACAAATGCGCCTGCACAATCGGAAGAGCCGGTCGTCATCTCATCAGGCACACCGACACAGAACGACAGCGTGGGACAATGCTCAGGCATAGCCAGCGATGGCGCCGCTCACTCAATGCCTGGCATGGAGACAAATAGGGCCGCACCAAGCCCGAGTGAGCCTCGCGAAGCTCGTCGGCACGTGGAGTTTGCAGCAACAAGCGGCAACCACGACATCATGGCACCAATGCCACTCAAGCCGCAGCGCCCGCCCTGTTTCGATCCAAGCCAACGTGGAGGTCCGACGGTTCAATCGTGGTTCTTCACAATGAACGTTTTTTTCGACGCAAATTACGTCGAGTCGGACGCGGCGAAGATTCGCTACGCCGTTTCGCTGCTGAGGGGCCCCGCCATGGACTGGTGGCGAGTCATCGTGACGTCGCCACGCACCTACGAGCCACCGTCGCAAGACGAAGGGCCCACGGGCCCAGCCGTCACCTGGAGTTCATTTTGCGAGACAGCCCAGTACAGCACGTGGGATGCGTGGTGCGCAGGGCTTCGGGCGCGCTTCGAGCCGATCACGGCTTCTATTTCTGCGCGTCAGAGACTGCGTACTTGGCGGCAGCTCGGATAAGTTCAAGACTACAAGAGCGGTTTTCTCACATTATGCGAGCAAGGCGCTACATGCACGAAGCGGAGCGGGTGGACCGTTACGTCGGAGGGCTGAAGCCGGACATCTCGCACGAAATCATGCTACGCGGGCTCTCGAATTTTAACAAGATCCTCGTGCTCGCCGAGAAAATCGACATTTTGCGCCGTCCGAGACCGGGGTCCTACTACGGACATCGTCCTCGGGGACCGATCGAGCACGCCACCGTACACGTCGTTGCGACGAATGCAGCTGCCGCGTTCTTTAAGGGGCGCTGCTTTGCTTGCAATTGGCCGGGCCATCGCAAGAGCGAATGCCTAGAGGAGCTGAGGCGCCGCGGAACAGAGCAGGGGAGAGAGTCTCAGAGGCAGGGAAACGCCAGCAGTCAGTAGAAGTTGGGCCAAAAACTGACGAGACTGCCTGCTCGCCCAACCTCACCGAGTCACAGTACTGATTCACGCTATTGATCGGGCTTGGATGAATAAGGAGGGTACAACGACGGATTGCCCAGTACTGATCCACGGGAAAATACAGGGAGCAGCAGTGAAGATTTTTATAGACGGAGGCGCAAGTCACAGCTTAGTTAATACCGCGACTGCACGGAAGCTGCAACTGGCACTTAGTCGGTGTTTACCGGAGATAGACGCACGCTTAGTTGACGGAACGCCGCTGGCCATACGAGATAAGGTGGAGAGAGTAAAAGTCCGCTGCGGGGGGAACTTCGGGTTTACACAGGAAATGCTCACGACGACATTGGATGGGCACGACATTTTACTGGGACGTGATTGGCTGCGACGGTACAACCCGCGAATCGACTGGACGATAGGTAGCTACACTGTGCAAAGTGTCAAACTTATATGCTGCACATTGTGTAGTCTGTAGTGGGGTAGCCCGTATGGGGTACAACACAACTCAGGGTTAGTACTTGTACTCATTTTGCTGCTAGTTCATCTCATTCTTGTTTGTAACTTTAACATGGAATCAGAGCAGGTTCCTTGGGCCCACCACCTGCTGCGCTACTAGTACCCCGTTTCCCTAGGCCCGTCGCGCCCCTAGGCCCGTCGCGCCCCTTAGGCCAGTCGTGCCACCGGCCCGTCGCGCTCATCGGCCCCTTCGCCCCTAGCCTGGCGCCCCGTAGGCCCATTGACCCCCGGCCCGTCGCCCCTAGCCCGTCGACCCCCGGCCCGTCGCCCTAGGCCCGTCGCCCCCGGCGAGTCGCCCGTCGCCACCTAGGCACGTCGCCCTGCGGCCCGTCGCCCGTCGCCCGTCGCCACCTAGCCCGGCGCCCCGTAGGCCCGTCGACCCCCGGCCCGTCGCCCCTAGCCCGTCGACCCCCGGCCCGTCGCCCTAGGCCCGTCGCTCCCGGCGAGTCGCCCGTCGCCACCTAGGCACGTCGCCCCGCGGCCCGTCGCCCGTCGCCACCTAGCCCGGCGCCTCGTAGGCCCATCGACTCCCGGCCCGTCGCCCCTAGCCCGTCGACCCCCGGCCCGTCGCCCCAGGCCCGTCGCCCCTGGCTCGTCGCCCGTCACCACCTAGCCCGACGCCCCGTAGACATGTCGACCCCCGGCCCGTCGCCCCTAGCCCGTCGACCCCCGGCTCGTCGTCCTAGGCACGTCGCCCTGCGGCCCGTCGCCCATCGCCACCCAGGCCCCTCGCGACCCACGGCCCCCCCTCTAGCGACCCACGACCCCTTGGCCCCTCGCGACTCACGCCCCCCCCCTCTCGTGACCCACGGCCCCTAGGCCCCTCGCAACCCACGGCCCCTCTCGCGACCCTAGGCCCCTAGCGACCCACGCCCCCTCTCGCGACCCTCGACACGCGACCCACGGCCCTTAGGCCCCTCGCGGCCCCTAGGCCCCTCGCGACCCACGGCCCCTCCCGCAACCCACGGCCCCTTGGCCCCTCGCCCCTTGGCCCCTCGGCCCTGTGGCCCCTCCTGTTTGGCCCCTCGGCCCCTAGCTTTGGCCCCTCGGCCCATAGGCCCCTCGGCCCCTCGACCCCTAGGCCCCTTGGCCCCTCGGCCTCGTGTTTGGCCCTTTGGCCCCTAGGCCCCTTGGCCCCTCGGCCCCGTGTTTGGCCCCTCGGCCCCGCCTCTTGGCCCCTCGGCCCCTAGACCTCTCGGCCCCTCGGCCCCTAGACCTCTCGGCCCCTCGGCCACTAGGACCCTTGGCCCCTCGGCCCCTTGGCCCCGCCACGCTCGTGTTTGGCCCCTCGGCCCCGCCCCTTGGCCCCTTGGCAACTGCTCCTGCACCTACTGCTACTGCTCTTGCTGCTACTGCTGCTCCTGAAGGCTGCGCCACTATGGCTTCGCTTAGAGTTCTAGCGTTCGATCATGAGGGCAGACCGGTTGCATTTGACACGTGGCATGACGATCTGCAACTGTACCTACTGAGCGATATCAAGGACAGTGTCTCACTGTTTGACCACGTGTCCGGTGTCGCTCCAGCCCCTCCCGCCACAGCTGACGGTGCAACTCGTTCCCAGTGGCTGTCTCGTGACGCTACTGCCCGCTTAGCCATTCGCAACCACCTGCCGGTGGCCGAATGTATTCACTTTGGACAGCACAGGAACTGTACGACGCTGTCGTTGCTCGCTACTCCTCCCCTGCCACTGCTGCTCTAGGCGGACTGCTACTGCCCTACCTGTTCCCTGAGCTGTCGGCTTTTGCCACCGTAGCACACCTGGTTACCCACCTGCGCACTAGCGATGCTCGCTACCGCGCTACCGTCCCTGCTGAGTTCCTTGCCACGAACCAGCCCCCCATGTTCATCACCCTCTACTTCATAGTCTCTCGCCTCCCTGACTCTCTTCACTCTGTAAGAGACCACTTTCCCTCCCTTGACCCCACCTCCCTCACTATTGACCTCCTCGAGCAGCATCTCCTCGCAGCTGAGACTAGTGCAGTTGCTGTAGGTGCTGCTCGTGGCACTCCGCGCCCGCCCTTCTTTGAGGGGTGCTCCCCCTCCCCCCTTTCCCCCTCCTTTGCCTCTGCTGCTGCTGCAGACGTCTCTGTTGCTGAGGACGTCGGTGCTGCTTCGACT